ACCCCATTGGCTTCGTTGTTTGATGATTCTTTGCTCCCTTCTCGTCTCTTCTCTTCTCCTCTCTTCTCTTCTAGCGTTGGACACCAGACACGGTGAGACTAGTGTTGTCAAGTCCCAATATAACTCCTTACTAAGTGCCAATTTCCGTTTCTCCAATTGGACACGCGCCCAGTTACTCCCTTACATGCTCAGCTTTATTGTGGTTGTCAGAGTTGGTTTTTTTTTTTTTTTTAACATTTTAAAATTTTATCAAATGTAATTTACATATTTAATCTTCATTTTAATTAATATTTTATATATTTTTAAAATAATAAAAATATATAAAAACTAAAAAATAAAATATCAAAAAATATTATATTTTTTTATTTATAAATTTTAATTTTAAAATATTATATAAAAAAAATCAAATTTATTTCATTTAAGCCAATGTAACGCTGCTTCAAACTAAATCTTTATTCATATTCATCGACTGCTACAACTCCAGTATTCTATATTTCTGTTCATTACCGCTAAAACTCAAATCGTTGGAGTTAGTGCTAAGCAAGTATGATTTTCTATATTAACGTACAAGCTTAAGTCTTGGTGCCATTTACATCGGGCTTCATGACTATTTTGTAAGTACGTCTGTACGTGTAATGTTTTAATAATAATTAAAATTTAAATTAAATAAAAATTGTTATTTTTTATTTTAAATTTTAAATTAATTAAAATATAATATAATTTTTAGATATTAAAATTTGTAAAATATTAGTAAAAAGAAAAAAATCTTCTTAAATATCAAGGTGTTTGAATCTTGAGGTTATTATTAAAAAAGCAATTTTTTTAAATTTAACATGCCAAAAGTAAGGGCTGCTTTCGAGTCTCTTTGCTTTTTTTTTTTTTTGGAATAATTTGAGATGTCTTTGGATTGAATTCGCCCAAAAACAAAAAAAAAAAATGCATTTATTTAATGTAACTAATATCATTAGATTAGAAGACGAGACAATTTTTATCAATATTTTATTTTTTTTGAACATTTTTATCATGGACCGACTCGAACCATTGTCCTGAGAAATGATATAAATTTTTACAAACGTGACTAGAACCATTTGACCCGAAAGGTCAGGTTCAGTTTTTACCAATGCCTTAATCATAAAAAATACAAAAATATTCATCTACTGCTCCTACTAAAAAAAATTATTCATCTACGGTTACTACCGCTAATTATATTCTTTATATTGGCCCATTGTGTTGGAATCATGATATGAATGTGGTTCTCTTCCGAAAATATTATTCTTC